TTTTTTTTTTTTTTTTTTTTTGGTGGAGGTAGCAGTTCTGTATAGGTGCTAATAGGGCCTCAGTGTCCTTTTTATACAGCAAACTTTATTTATGCAGTACTGTAACTTTTGCTTATTGTACTATACAATACAGGGGCCATTAGTAGCTAATACTTCCAGCTGAAGAGTGCTTTTTTCCTGAAGGAAGAATCTGGAAAACACCACTCTAGCCACTTCAGAGCACCACCATGCCATTCTAAAAGATTTGTTTCCCAAAGTAAGTGGACCCATGCTTTGGGTTGCCTGGAGGGACTCATAAGAGGATCAATGAAAGAAATTATGGAAAGCATAATTCCATTGCAGGAACCTCACAGGGGTAGGTGATATTCTTCACCACACTCATCTGCTACCCCTTTCTGGCTTCCCTTCTCCCTTGACACCTCTGCTTGTCTAGGTAGCTCATGAAGGCTGAAACAGACCCTTATGCCTAAGAGGTCTGGACTTGGTCACCATTTCCTTTTGAGGAAACAGCTGATGTACTTGGTTATTTACCATCAAACTTGGCCAAAAAAAAAAAAAAAAATTAAGGGGCATTCTATTGGCCTGAGTGCCAAGTGTTTTCCTCTCTGTATTCAATGTACAACACACAGTCTGAATAGAATTACTTAACCATGCTAGTATGATTTCTTCCCTCATGTACTGTCCTCTCACTAGAAACCTGAAGTCCAATGGGACTCTTATAGTGTTCACACTGTGGAATACTGGGTGGCTAAATACCTGAGAATAATAACTTCAAAGAAAGGTTTATTTTGGCTCATAGTTTTTGACCATGGTTAGTTGGTACCATTGCTTTTATTTTTATTTTTATTTATTTTTTGGTACTGGAGATCGAACTCGGGACCTTCAGCTTGAGAAGCCAGTGGTGGAACCACTGAGCTAAATCCTCAGCCCCAGCTTTTAGGCGTGTCAAGACAGAAGCATTATGGCAGAAGGGCATGGCAAAGGAAATCTGACTTCATGGCCACCAGGGAGCAGAGTATGAATGCAAGGGCTCAAGGATAAGACAGTCTCCAAGAGCATGCCCTCAAGACTTGCTACTTTCAACTAGGCCCTATCTCTGAAGTTTCCATTACTTTCTCATAACACCATAGTTTTGAATCCATCTGTGATGAATGTACAGCCCTCATTATCCAATCCCCTGCCAAAAACCTCAACTCTGCTGCACCAGAGGTCAAGCCTTCAATAAATGAGTCTATGGGGCACATTTGACAGTAATATACTGACTTCTTGAAAATAGAAGTCCTAACAGTGACACAAGAGCAGGATCCACCACATCTCTGACCACATCTGTTTCTGCCACTCCCACAATACCATCTTGAACCAGTTCTACTCATCACACTGGCCTTTGCATGCCCAAAGTGCCCTTGTCACAGAAATTCATGTCTCACTGTCCCATCTAATCAAGATCTCTGCTCAACTTGTTTCCTAATCACTGTACAGAAAATGGTAAGACTCTACTCTCTTAAATGTCTTAAAAAGCATGGTTTTTCTGCATAGTGAATACAATGTTTTGATTTTTCTAAAATCCAACTCTTTCCCCATTAGAATGAAGTGCTCTGGTGTTTAAAAATCTCGCTTGGCCCACAGAATGTACTTAATAAATAGGATAGTGGTTAGAGGCATGGTTCAAATCTGGGCTCTACTCTCACTAGCCAGTGAACTCAGGCAAGTAGCTTCTGTGTAGATAACAGAACACAATTTAAGTGAACAGTGAGTATAGTGGTATCTCAGTTTACAAATTTAATTTGTTTTAGGATTTCAGGAAAGATGGCTGAATTTATGTTTGTGTGGAGATAGCTGTAGTTGTCTGTCACCCACAGTGGATTTTGGGAATGGAAGCAAAATGTTGCTAAATGCTTTTGTTTGCAAACCCAATTACTTGCAAACAGAAGCATTCATGAACCGGGTATTACTGTACTCAATAGTTAATAATTATAAGGTACTCTGCCTGTGTACAAAACATGTTATGTATTTGACCATTTATTATCAAGGCACTATAAATCTTAGCTATATAAAAATATGGGACCTGCATAAAAAGGAACAATTCACATGAAAATATCTAATCCTGTATTCATTGTTGCAGCATTATCAAAATTTAAAAAATGACAGAATTACAAGAATGTTAATCCATATTCATGGTGAAAGACTTTACTACACCATCACTAAAGCTGAAAGAAAAAAATCTGAACATACAATGAAAACACAACTAATATCCATATACTTTATATCTACATATTAGAGAATATACATCATTTTGCAAGAAACATGTAACATGGTTAACATTGGGCAAACTGCAAAGTTTACCAGTTAAAAATACTGTATTCAGTTGGAAGTTAACAAAACACCTCAAGAACAACAAATCACTTTAGCTTTAACCAGTTAGGGGTTACTTTTATTCACATAAGAAAAAAGTCTTAATAAACAGCCAGAGCTGACATAGCCAATCAGCAGCTTTGGGGAAATTAAAATCATTCTGGTTTTTCTGCATCATAGATCTTTTGTCTCTGTGTGTGTGTGTGTGTGTGTGTGTGTGTGTGTGTGTGTGTGTGTGTAGCTCTTTATTCTCCAGACCTTGAGGCCACTTTCCATGACAAGGTATTTGTAAGGTAAACAGATGGGTGAAGAAAACAAGTCAGATAGTTCTTCAAACTTCAAAGACTTCTACCTAATTCTCACAGTCAGCAGAATGGAACAAAGTCTGTCTAGGCTTAAAGAAAGCCTGGTGGCTTATTTTTAATATTGCTCATAAACAACTTGAAGGAAATGTTTCTTTAAGGAGAAGGGGAGCACAAGCATTGGAAAGAAGCTAATGGTATTTGCCATACAATTATAGAAACAGAAAAAAACTCAATACAATGAAGTCCACACATTCTGACAAAAATATCACTAACAGGAAAAAAGAGTATCAGAGGTATTATCTAATTTCATATAAGTAAAAGCATTCAGGAGCTATTTAGAAATTTCATACCTTTCTGAATATGCAATGTATTTATGGTTTTAAAGAGTAAATGATAATAAAGACTGCAAACTTTGGAAGGTAATTTAGGGTTTGAGGAGCAGATATATATGTTTGTATGAACCAGACTAAAATTAATGATTTAGTGGTCAAACCTACTTTAGATGATGGTAATGCCAACTCCAGACTCACTCACACGTTTATTCCCAGAATTAGTTATCTTGTAGTCCCTTAGTGAAGGGCTGAGGCATTCTAGCATGGATTACATTCCTAGGCTGTTCTACCATATAAGTGTTCAGGAGAAGAATCACTGATAATTTTTCAAAATTAATACTCATAGGTTTTATATCCAGGGAGAATTTTCATGTTTTTCCTAAGTTTCATCCTAGAAAGAATTCCTCCTTTCTTTGTATTCACAAGTCTTCTACTGAATGTGGGAAAACGGAAAGTCTTCCAATACCAATGACATCCAACAATTTTCTCCATAATAAATTCTCCTCTTTTAAAAAGTAAAGAATGTTCAAGACTTTCCTATAGTCACTGCAGACAGAATACTCCACATCGTGTATTCAGTAACACGAACACTTGTGCCATAGAGTTTTCCATATATTTCACACGCCTCTGAAAGGATGAACAATCACTGGAGGCTTTTGCATTCTGATGATCTTCATAGTGTTTTTCCCAATGGGAGCTGTCACGTAACTCCTAGCAGCTACAGTTGAAGGCTTTCCTTTCATTCTTCAGGTTTTGTTGGACATATTAATATGAATTTGAGCTTGAAGTTTTATCACATAGATTGTACTCAGTAGGCTTCTCTCTGAAGTAAATTAACAGGAGAGTTACTAAATACCATTTCACACTGATAGGAAGGATAAGGGTGTGCTGAAAGCTTTTCTTCATTAATTTCATGGCAAGTTTCCTAGCTGCTTCCCAGTGATCTGTCTCCTAGTTCTCACACTTTCTGTAGTCTTCTGGTACACTGTATCAGGACTGGTCTCTGTGTAACCAGTAGAATATAGAAAAGGTGAAAATACATCCTTCTGATGATAGGTCATACAAAACAGTGGCTTCTTCATTGGCTCTCCCTTAAATCACTTTCTTTGGGGAAAACTTGCTGTCATACTGTAAAAATACCTCACTCTGTAGAGAAGCCTGCATGGTGAGGAACTGAAGGTCTCCAGTAACAACCAGCACTAATTTTCCAGGCGTGGAAGGGAGCCACATAGAAGTAGACCCTTCATCAGTAAAGACTTCAGCTGATTGCAGCTCTATCTGACATCTACACTGAAATCTCATGAGAGATCCTGAGCCAGAACTACAGAGCTAAGCTGTTCCTGAATTCCTGGCCTACAGAAATTGCGACATAATGATGAATTGTTTAGAGCCACAATGTTTTGGGGGATGACTTTTTATGCAGCAACAGATAACCTGTATATCTGTTGTGAGTTCTCTCATGTTGAGAGGTCAACAAGGGCTTTCCCAGACATTCTCATAGTAATTTCTCATCCCAATTCAAATCCACCTGTTATGCACTCTCTTGTGCACAGAAAGGTAAGAGTTACTAGTAAAAGATTTTCCACAATGGTTACATTCATAGGGTTTTTCTCCAGTGTGAGTTCTTAAGTGCTTTTTAACAGCAGAGAGATTATTAAAGGCTTTGCCACAGTCGCTACATTCATAGGGTTTCTCACCAGTATGTATTCTCTTATGCACTGTTAGAGAAAAGCTACTGCTAAAGGACTTGCCACACTCATTGCACTCATAGGGTTTTTCACCTGTGTGAGTTCTCAAGTGCTGTGTTAGATAGGAGCTCTTCCTGAAGGCTTTCCCACAATCGTGGCACTCATAAGGTTTTTCTCCTGTATGAATGCTATTGTGTCCAGTTAGAGATGACCTTGTGCTAAAGGCCTTTCCACACTGACTGCATTCATGGTGATTTTCACCTGTATGGATTCTCTTGTGGCTCTTGAGGTTACAGCTAGTGCGGAAGACGTGAAAACACTGGTTACATTCATAGGGTTTTTCTCCGGTGTGAATTCTCACGTGCAGTCTGAGGGATGAGGGATCACTAAAAGCTTTGCCACAGTGATTGCATTCATAGGGTTTCTCCCCATTATGGATTCTCCTGTGAATAGTAAGGTAAGATCTACTGCTGAAGGACTTCCCACACTGATTACAGTCATAGGGCTTTTCTCCAGTATGAATTCTCTTGTGTTGAGTAAGGTTAGACTTTGTGCTGAATACCTTAAAACACTGGTTACATTCATTGATTTTCACTCGACGACTTCTCTCCTGTTAAGAGATGAATAAATATAATTTATATCTATCTATCTATCTATCTGTCTATCTATCTTTTTTGGGGGGTACTGGGGGGATAGAATTCGGGACCTTGTGCTTGCAAGGCAGGCAGAACCACTGGGCTAAATCCCCAGCCCAATTTATAATATTTTTGACATATCCTGTTGTACAAATTGTCTCTCCCCGGAATTCTACTACATCATGAAAACTGATGTTTAGGCTACTGGTTTTTGCCTTGTTTAAGCCCTTAGAAGTTAAAAACAACAAATGTTTGGCTGTCTTTTTCATATTCATACAATTATTATGATAATTGAAAGATTAATTTATGTTTTGAATAGCTTATATGCTGAATCACACATTTAATGAAATATTTACTTATTAAATATTTCATGTGTGAAGTCTCAATGAAGAAACAAGTTTGGAGCTAATTTATTTTTTCCTCCCAAATTATAGGAGTTTCACAAAGTCTATTCAATGACACTATTTCTCAAGTTTAACTGTGAATTACTTTGAATCTTTTCTAACTTATGACATTTTTCTACTGTAAAAAAAAAAACACGTTGTTCTTACCGTTTTTACACCTTTCACTTGTTCTCTTCTAAAAGCATCTTTCTTTGGAGTTAGCCATTTGGCTTTAAGTACAGTCTCCAAATCTGAAATAAAGTAAGAAACTTAGCTTCCATGGAAAAAGGAAATGGCAAAAGTATAGAAATTAGCAAAGGTAGAGTCAAAATATCAGTATTTTTGAGGAGGTCTGCAATGAGAGGCAATTACGGAAATATTAGTTTATTAGTTTTTTAAAAGAATTTAACCTATTTTTTATCAGTGCATGTTTGCAGTACATAATGCTTACAATCCTTGGGGGGAGCTGGTACATATACATAAAATTTTAATTACTTTTCACCTTCACCCATCAACTGATCTCCTTCCCATGTGAGAAAGATCTATCTCCCTATTTCCTATTATCTGTCTTTTCTTTTGTGCTCCCCCACCTCTCTCTATATATTGTGTTTCTCACTTAAGAGAAACCATGAGATATTTAAACTTGTGTGTCTGATTTATTCCATCTAACATTATGGTCTAAAGAGCATCTTTCTTCCTATAAATGACTCAAGTTTATGTTTTTTTTTTTTTCTTTTGGTATCGGGAATTGAACTCAGGACCTCGTGCTCGCAAGGCAGCTGGTGGAACCACTGAGCTAAATCCCCAGCCCGAGTCAAGTTTATCTTTATGACAAAAAAGCAAGATATTAGAAACATTGAGACTGACAAGGAATTATCAGGAATGAAAAGTGGGACTTAAATTTTAAAAAGCAATGTACTCAAGAGGCTAAAATATGAGTTGATGTACAAAAAGTTAGAGGAAAGAAAGAAAGAAGAGGTATATGAGGAAGATCAACCTAAATGTTCACGTTCATCTTCGTCAGAAAAAGAAAGCCCTTTAACAGAGTCCTCTGACTGAAATTAACTTAAGCAATATTCCCAACTCTTAGTCCCTGGCCATGCGACAGATATTCCTCACATATACACCTGGAGCTTACCTGGACAGGTCCTCGGGAGATTTCTTCTTTCCTCCGTCATCACTGTGTCTTCTTGCTCCAGCTGCGACATCAGACTGGGTTTTCCAACATGACAACCTATTTAAGAGAAACTACATGTGATATACAGGCTGTTACATGAGAATGGAGACAGCAATTCTCATTTATAACTGTATTCTCAAATTCCTGTACAGACCTAGGGACACAGACGTCCTTAAGAGACTTGTGAAAAATGATGACAGTGAACTCAAAAATCCCATCCCTCCACAAAAGTAGAAAAATAAACTTGCAAAGACATTCAGGAACACCTTCACTTGTATTTTGGAAACTTCTCAAAAGCTTACAGCAAAACCAAACTAAACCAAAAAAACACAATCTGTAGAATGTCTAGTAAAAAAAAAAAAAAAAAAAAAAAAAAAAAAAAAAAAAAAAAAAAAAAATAAATCTAGGTAAGAGATTATTATGACATTTTAAGTGGCTCAGGCCCATTTCCTTTCCTCTGCTTTGATCATGGCTTTGGAGCCTACAGTCAGCACTGGTAGTCCTGAAGGGAACAAAACAGAATTTATTCTGTGGCTTTTTTGGCCTGCCTTGGGGTTTCCTGAAACATCTGACTGGATTAGGGGGCTTTCCTTTATTTGTCTGACTCCAGACTCTGAGGACTGAGCTGCCTACCTGCTGCACATGTAAGGAACATGTTTAAAGGTCAATGTACTAATCAATACTGCACAGGCAAGAGAAAACAATAGAAGCAAACAAAACTAGTACTAACCAAAAGTCTTGGAGGGAAGGTAGAAAAAAAATTTTAAAATCTCCCTGATATTCCTAGGATTCTAGAATGCCATGCATATACCTGGTTGTGTGATCAGAGAAGACAGGAGAAGGCACTAAGCCCTCACCTCTGGCTGACCTTCAGGCTCTGTACATGCAGGAAATGAAGGCCAAAGCAAAGTGGTAAAATGCCTTGCTTAATTTTAGTCTTTAAATGACTATATATAGACAAGGCTATCTGAATAGATTGGGAGATCTTGGTTTTTGGTTATAAGCCTTTAAAGAAATCTCTGACAAAACACTATATGATCATAAAGCTAATGGAAGAGCTTTTAGTAGCTACACAAAGTTCTAAAGTATCACTAAAGATACGTACTATCAGTATGTAACCACAACAAACCTTAAAACATGGGGTTAAAATCTAATTCCAAATTGCGGTACAAGTTAAATAACCCTAATTCAAAAATCCAAAACCAGAAATGCTCCAAAACCTCAAATTCTCTGAGCACTGACCTTAGTTTTATCTTCTAGATCATCTTGGACTTCAAATTTGGAATGCTGGTGCACTCTACTCTTGAGTTTGTCTGATATCTGCCTCTAATAAATTTTTCTTATGCCTCTTTTACTGACATGTTCTGAATTTTTTTTTTTTTCTGTGACAGGAGTCAGCAAACCTCCATATTTATTTTACTTTTTTTTTTTTTGGTACCTGGGATTGAACTCAGGACCTTGTGTTTGCCAGGCAGACACAGCACCACTGAGCTAAATCCCTGGCCCTGCATACTCATTTGAAAGGGTGGGTTAAATTCCTTATTTCAGCCTCAGGCACTATAAGACTCAGCCCGTGACATCTTTCTGGATGAGCCAGCAACAAGAGGTTAGAAAAAAAAAATGAAAAGGCATCTTTGGTTAAGTGCAGCTAAATGGCTTCATTTATTTGTTTTCTTTCTTTGTCCAAATTTTCCTCCAAGCCCCTGTGCCTCTGAAGTGTTTCCTCTGAAGCACTGTTTTCTCCCAATCCCTTTGCCTCTGAAGAATAGTTTTCTAACGGTTTTCTTTTCTTCCTCTCTCTCCCTCCCACTCAGGATTTCATCTGTCAGGAAATTCAAACCCATTTAAGGTTTTTTTTTTCCTATTGGTTCCCAGAAAAAGTAGAGAGCTGCAGGGAAGAGAAGCCTAGTGACTCCCACCATGTGGGAGGGGACAGGGGAAGTGCAACCCCTTAAGAATAAGGGATGGAAGTCTCTGTTGAGTAAGATGAAGTAGGATGGAAGAAATGAATTTAGGTAGGAGACAAGGATATCAAAATTCTAAAAATTCTATTTTAAAGGAAAACTGCAGCTTCAGAACACAGGCTTGGTTTATTACTTTTTTTTTTCCTTCTTCCAAAACTGCACACCTAGGCAACTCCCTTTCAGGGGCAAACAGATCTGCCTACGCCCTTTTTCTTGCAAATGCTCCTCTTTCACCCCCCCCAAGGGACCACCCTTTTGGCATTTCCCACAGGAATAGCTCATTAAGGGTGGGACATCCTTTGTCATTCTCTGAGAATGAGACAACAGATTATCAAATCCCACAGATTTCCACCTCCCAAGGCACATAAAAGATTCCCAGTTCCCAAGTGTATAGCGCCTCATTTGAGACCAGCACTGTGCTCTTCAGTGTGACTTATATCTCCTCTAATCAATCTTTTCCACGCTTCTTTTGAAAAAACAAAACAAATTTGAGATGCTCAATCAGTAAAGTTTATGTAAACATTCCAAAGTCCAAAAAAGTCCCAAATCTGAAAGACTTCTGGCCCCAACCATTCAGATAAGAGATACCATTGCAACATTCAAATTTCCAGTTTTCAACAAAATAGTGAGTCAGGAAAAGAACAGCATGGCGTATCAGCAGGATAAAGAAATTGGAAGAAACTGTCCTAGAGAAAGTCCAAATATTGGATTTGGTAGACAAAGGAAATAAATCAATTACTTTAAATGTTTAAAAACAATGTAAGGAAATCAAGAAAACAAATTCTTATCAAACAGAAAACATAAAGAGGGAAGACAAATTCTGGAGTTGAAAAGTACAACTAAAATAAAAAATTCAAGAGAAGTTCAAAATCAGATATGAAGAAGTCCAAAAAAAAAGAATTAGTGATTATGAAGATACAGCAACTGATTGATTCCGGAATGAAGAGAGAGAAGAGAGAGAGAGGAAAAGAAAAACAAAAAACAAAAAAACAAACCAAACAAAAACAAAAACCCCACAAAAGAATTGGGCTCCAAAACATGAAAAAAAACAACAACAACAAATGAACAGAGCTTATGGGATACTTTCACATACCCCAACATAGACACAATGGGAAATGCAAATCAGAGCAACACTAGGAACCGATTTACACCCAGTAGGGCGATTATAAGCAAAACGGTACATGTGAGGATGCAGACAGTGCTGGGACACCTGTGCATTCGGGAGAATGCAAAATGCTGCAGCGGCTGTAGAAAATCTCATTTTCTATTTTTCCCCATTGAACCAAGATACATCATGTAAAGAGAGAAGATCCCAATGATGAATGTAACTGTACGATATACCTAAAATGTACCAATAAAAAATATTTTAAAAAATGATAAAAAATACACAATCTCATTTCCTCAAAAAACCAAAAACAGAAATATCACAACCCACATTAGGGATGGTGGCCCATGTCTGTAATCCCAGCACGCAGGAGGCTGAGGCAAGAGCATCACTGGGAATTCGAGGCCAACCTGGGTTATGTAGTGAGTTCAAGCCCCGTCTGAACTACATAGCGAGATCCTGTCTCAAAAAACAACAACAAAAAAAGAAATATCATGACCTACTAGCATCCTCACCCAAAAGGATTAAAAACAAGTGTTTCAGCAAAAACCTGTACAGAAATATTCACAGTAGCATTATTCATAATAGCCAAAGAGTAGAAACAACCCAAATGTTTATCAACCTATAACTAGATCAACAAAATTTGGTGTTTCCTATGCAATGGAATACTCTTCATTTACTGTGAGAAATGAAGTGGTGATAGGTGCTATAAGAGAGCTAAACCTTAGAAATACTATACATGTGAAAAAAGATACAAAAGGGGTTGCCTTCTGTGCTTCCATTCCTAGGAAATTCTCTGAATAGGCAAACTCAGAGAAAAGCAGATTAGTGGTTTTCAGTGGCCATGAGTAGGAAAGGCAATGGGGTTGAATGCTTAACAGGGATAGGGTGTTTTTCGTTTTTAGGGATTGTCTTAATCTACCTTCTGTTGCTATAACAAAATAACTAAGGCTACATACTTTACCAAGAAAATAGGCTTTATTTTGGCCCATGATTCTGATTTCTGCAAAGTCCAGATAGCATGGTGCTGGCATCTTGAGAAGACCTTTCGGCTTTGGTACAACATGGAATAGAAGAGGAAAGGGAACCAGCTGCATGGAGAGGATCAAATCATGAGTCATGGTCTCCTTTTTTAACCACCCATTCTTGAGAGAACTAACCTGGTCCTGTGAGACCTGACCCACTGGAGAGAGACAATATGAATCCTAAGGGTGGTGTCTCCAGATCAAATCATCTCCCACTGGGCCTTACCTCTTAAAGACCCTACTACCTCAATACTGTTTCACAGGAGATCAAACTTTCGGCTCATAAAACATAGCCAAGTCACAGCAGAAGCATTGAAATTGTTCTGAAATTACACATTTGCACAACATTGTGAATACACTAAGAGCCACTGAACTGTACATTCTTAATTGATGTGAAGATGAATTTTATGTTTGCGAATTTTGTATCATTAAAAATATAACAGTAAAACGCAATGTTGCCACCTGAGCCACAAAGTAAAAGTAGGTTGGTGTTGAACTTACCAAGTGAGGCCAGGTTCCTGCAGTTCTCCAGCATCACCTCCCTGTACAGGGATCGTTGGGACGTGTCCAGCAGTGCCCACTCCTCCTGGGTGAAGTCCACGGCCACGTCCTCAAAGGTCACCAGGTCCTAAACCATTGCAAACATCATGGCTCAGCCAAGGATCCCACCCAGAGTGAACAGGAAGGGACCAGGGTACAAGATGAGTTGGGAGGGTTCTGAGCACCGTTTTCCTTGGCTTCTGGGCTCAGTCTCAGTGTCCACTGGGTCCACTCCCAAGGTCCAGTGCCCTCAACATAGGGTGGCCTTCTGCACTCTGACTGAACTCCTGAAATCTTTTTTCACGCAGTATTAAGGGTGTAACACCGGCCTGGGGCAGTGTGAAAGTAGAAGAAATACTTGGTAATGAAAAATGATTTCTCCAAAGCCACCATGAGTTGCACTAGGTAAGGACAGTCGCATCTTTATGTAGTTTTCCGTTAAAGTCTTTATAGCCTAAGACGTACTTAGGGACTCTGCAGAGTTCTGAAAATGTAGTGAGTGCTGAGATACATGGACATTTTCTCAGTCCCATCAGATGCCTGGGGAATTCTTTGCTATCCAAGTACCTGCTTTGGCTGTTTGGCTCTAGGCCACTGAAGGTAACAAGTCCAACTTCTGCCAGGGGAATGATGATTTGGACACAGGAAGCTCAGACTCACCTGCAACCAGAATGTCAGGAACTCACTGACCAGCCTTTCCTCCCCTATGTGTCCTTTCTGAGGCGAGGCTGGGTACAGGGAGGACTGAGCTGGGGAAGAAGAAATGAGTCACAAGAATCCAGGCTGCCTTGTGTTCTCCATCCACCTGATCATACACAGCCCAACAACACACAAGCACAAACACACATGCACACACCGAGCACACACAGAGCGCACAACTCTACCCTCATGGAGACACCCATAGCTTCCAAAAGAAATGAGGACCCAGCCCTGTCTTACCCCAGCCAGAAAACAGGGCTCAAGGGTCTGGATGAGTATTCCCATATCACAGATGAGGAAAGCGAAGTTCTGAGGGCATCACTGTTTTTTACCAAAGAATTAAGCCTGATTCTTCCACACAGGTGACACACACACCAACACTCAAACCTCAGAGTCCCACATCCCAAGAGCTGCCCATCAGACCCAGGATCTCGGGCTCCCAGAATCTACTCTCTGTACCTGCTTGGCCCCCTCCCCTGCCTTTCTGGGGCTCGGTTCTTTGAGCCTGACTCCCAGGGCTGCCAAGACTTGAGGACTCACCACAAGAAGGGGGCAGGACAGCAGCTGCCATCCTGTGACTTCGACAGCAAAGCTCCTGCACACCAGGGAAGTGGAAGAACAGCAACACTCCACCTTGCACTTCCTCGGGGTATGGGGCAGCAGCTCTCTGGAATAAATGGGACATGGGGTCTGCATGGTGTGCTCCCTCTCACGCTCTGAGAACATGTCTTTCTGAGCTACCCAGCACACCTCCTTTCCAAATGCAAGTTCTATCTTCCACGCCAGGTCTTTATTCCGCCTAACAGGTTGAGCATCGTGAAAAAGGCAAAGTGTCTGTTTCTTCTCTGCTTTCACAGCACAATCAGCACAGACTTGACACTACATATGTGGGGACTGCTTCCTGCCAGCCAGTAAACCATTGATTCCAGTGTACAAAAGCCGGGTGTCCTTGGACTGAATTCAGTTTCGATGCTACCCACCTGGAAGCAGGGTTAGACTGGGGGCTCGGTCTCCAAGGCCACGACCCCACCCTCAGATGCCAGGCATCAGCCTCAGGTCATTCTCCCTGTGCTTCTGACTGAGGGCTGTACATCAGGTTCCTTTAACCCTTTCTGGAGGTTTGATTAACGATGTGAGCAGCTCACATCATTCAGGAAACACACTTGCTGTTCCATTGTAAGAATATGACAAGGGAGACAGTTGAAGCGACGCCTAGGGCAAGGTATGGGGGAAGGCATGTGGAGATTCCACCTCCCAGGACCCTGGCCTGTGCAGCTGTCTAGAAGCTCTCTGCTGGAGCCTGCCGCCCTCTCCCTCTGATGGACAAGGTGCGGCCTCCCTTCATGGCACACTGTCCTTTGGGTTTTTATGGAGACTTCGCTGCACGGGAAGGACTACAGACAGACAGCATAGGGAGACCCAGCAAGGCCTGTCTGCTCAGTCTCAGTGCAGCATCTCTTCCTTTAGGACAGGGGCAGGACCCTCTGCAATGAGGAGGGCTGTACACACAACTATCAGACAAAGTAGATCAGAGAACTGCTTACGGCTAAGTGACGGCAGGAAGACCTGAGTCCCTGTGACCAACCTCAGGGAAGAGAAATTTAATCTCCATGGCCTGCTCACAGGAGGGAGTTTTGAGCCTGGAACCATGGATGAAAAACCAAAACATATACTATGTATCACAGTAAGAGTCAGGTGATGGTGAAGCTTATCTTCCTTTGTCACCAGTGGTGGGAACAGTACTCACTGCTCCAGTGAAAACCTTGACTTCCCTCAATCTCGTGGCACATTCTTCCCATCCAAGCTGTTGTTACACTCTTGTCAGCAACTTGTCATTCCCTAGAGACGCTGGCTCCTGACTCATTACTCCTTCAACCTCCACGGCCACCACAGATGATGGAGATAGCCTTAGGGTATGGGGAGTTTCAACTCCAATGGCCCTGCTCCCCCCCAGCCAAGTGCCACCTTTCCATGGGTCCCACCCTGCCCTTGTCATCCCTGGCACTGTCCCAGTGCCAGGCATAAACATTCCGAAATTCTCCTCCTTCTAACTTCTCTTCTTTTGTGTTCATCCTTTTTCTCTGACCACACAAAGGCCACATTCTACCCTCTCCTACTTCCTTGTTCGTAATTAGCCACTTCCTTTCTTCATTTCATACTTATCAGGCTAGACTTCCTCCTTCCCAATGTTAACAGATGTTCTGTCCCCAGCCTAGACTCCCGCAGCAGGCCAGCAGAACTGCAGCCAGGCAGATTCTAATCACCGCCCCGTTCATGACCACATCTGCACAGAGAGCCTGCACAAGGGCTGTGACACGGTCGTCTATGACCAAGCAAAGGGATCAACATGAAAAGAGCTCTTGACTTCAGAGGAAGGTCCCAGAGGTCCATGTAGCTTCCCTGTCCTCAAATCTCTATTTGTGAGTCTTGTATATCCTCGTCTTCTCCCTGCGGCAGCCAGCTTCCTAAGCAGATCTCGGTCCCCTAGTAGTTCTGCATAGCCCCCGACACACTCTGAAGGGGGGTGACCTGGAGACCCATAGAATGCTGCAGAGGTGACAGAGAGGACTTCTGAGGTCAGGTCTCAGAAGGAACTGCAGCTTCCACCTGGGTCTCTTGGATGCCTGGTCCAGAGGAAGTTGACTGGCTTGGTGGAAAGACATTCTAGCTGCCTCCCACCAAGTGAGGCCCCAGAAACAAATCTGGGAGCATCTGAAGCCTTCAGATGGCCCAGCCTGAGGTAGTGGCCTCCTGCAACTTCCAAGAGTCCTGAGCCACAGCCTTCTGACCACACCACTTCCAAATCCCTGAACCACAGACCAGGAGCACTGATAAATGGTTACATGACTAGGGTTTGGAGCCAGCTGTCAGGTGACAAGAAATAATGAATCATCTCACTCTCAGAGATGGTCCCATATCCTACTTCTCAAGAAGGAACCCGCCTCTCACCTAGCAAATTCCACTCGGGCTCTGCTGCTCCCTCCCTCTGCTGGACAAGGTGCTGCCTCCCCTTTGTGGCAGCTCTGTCCCAGGATCCATCTCCTGCTTCCTAGAAACCATCCACCTCCACCCTTCCCTTTCGAGTATTTCCTCTCACCCACTCAAGCTAGGTCCAAGATCTTCAGTAGTGAAATAAACATATGCTCTGAACACAGTTATTCTTCCAGTTACTGCCAAGTCTCCCTCCCTCATCCCAGACAAAATTTTTCACTCCGTTTCCTTTCCTCGCATCCACTTGCTCCTGCACAGCACCATCCGGGGTCCACCACCATCATCTCCAGGACAAAACTCCTGACAGAATCACTGAGGCTCATGAATGGTGACAGAGATGCAGGCTGCAGCCACACCGGTACTATTCCCATCTGTCTGATCAGCAAAGACCCAAGGGACCACACAGCCTTTGCTGACGTGGCTGCACGAAGAGGCTTTCTTCCACCTGGCTGGGAAGAACTTGTCAATGTCGGGCAAAGGGGCAAACACCTTATTCTTTCCCTGTTGATCCCACTTCCAGGGATTAGCCCAAAGACACACAAAAAGTAAAAGTTCTATGCAAAATTATTCACTGTTGGCATTGTTTATAAAAGCAAATGAAAATAACGCGAACGACCTCCAAAAGGAAACCAGATGAATAAACTATGGGACACCTCTGTGAGGAAGAAGCACACAGCCAGAAACTAAACAAAAACAAACCTGAAAAGATCTGGAGGTACTGGTAGAAATTACTATCTCCAATAAATTTAAGTTAAAACAACAAAAATCAAAACACAAAGGCACAAAACAGTGTTTACAGAATGTTTCCTTTTTATGAGAAGGGAAGGCTTCCTCCTTACAGACAGAAAATAATATAACTGCATAAAACCAGCTTCTTGAGATTTCTCTGTGATCTTCCTGTACTCAAAAGAAAGCAGTGAAGGGCATCTACGGGCAGAAATGGGGACAGAGACACTGAGTTTGTGCCATGTGAAAAAATGTAATTACAGAGAGTCTTTCACCCTTGGGCCTTGTGGAAGACAGATTAATAACAACTTCTAGCCACCAAAAGAAAAAAGGGTTGTCCAAGTTGCAGTCCCCAGAAGTTGTAGATTCCTTATTTTGCAAAAGCAATTCTGCAGATGTGTTTAACATATGGACTTTGAGATGGGGTGACTATCCTGGATTATATAGGTTGGATTAAATAGTTCCTTAAAAAATGAGGCAGGAGAGTCAGAATTGGAGAAGGAAATGTTACGATGGAGGTAGAGGTGTGACGATGAAGGAAAGGGTGGGTGGGTGGGCAGAGGGAAAGACAAAGAGAGAAATCGGACAATGCAGTATTACCTTGTTGATTTCAAATATGGAGAAAGAAACACAAGCCAATGAATGCAGATGTACTGTATAGGATGGAAAAGGCAAAAATGGATTTTCCCTAGAGCCAGTATCCCTGTGACTAGAAGAAATTAGGCCTATGATTCATTTGGGACTTCTGACCTCCAGCTGCAGAAGAATGAATCTATTTTGTTTCAAGCCACTGTAGTAGTCTGTTATAGAAGCCACAGATAAATAACAGCCTCTCTCATCAAACAGGGAAACCAGGACTGTGTGGGTAGTCAGCTGACCCAGACTGCTGTGGCAAACTTCCCTGCCCTCTCCAGGTATAGGTATATCCTTTCTCCTCATAAGGACTGATTTGCAGTCAGGTACAGTTTTAGTCACTGGCTGAGGAGGGACAGGAGGAGGGTTGGAATACAGGCAGTTCACCATGCCCCAAGAAAGAAGCTGGCAGAAGAGGAGGTGCTAGGACATTTCTAGACTGAGTCCTTTTCAAGGTTGTCTGGTAGCGGAAAATCCCAACGAAGGCAGAAAGGGTTCCTAGTCAGTTTACAGATTTCCTGACACCTACCCTGCCCTGTGTACGTTGATGCTGAAGACAGGCACAGCAGATGGGCCACTTTTTTCCAGTACTGCCTAACAGAACTTTCAAAACTGTAGCTATTAACTAGCTGCATGTGGCTACTGGGCCTTGCAATGGGCTTGTGTAGCCGACACAATGACTATTCCATTGTATTTAGTTTTCATTGGTTTATCAGAAATAGCTCCGCGTGGCTACTATAGTGGACGGTCAGCACTAGGCATACTTGGGCCTAACTTCCTATAGGACGTGGGGAAAGGTGTTGGGAGAGGCAAAATGAGGGTGGGCACGGGCTATGGGTGAGGGGGCAGGCCGAGGTTTGCACAGACAGGAGCCAAGTGCACACGAGTACTCTGCACCACCTGCCAGACGCACACGGGAATGACAGCATCATCAACTCTCAGTTCTCAACTCCCAGATCTCATCGTTCTACGTCTTTCCTACTCCACAATCATCACTCGGCCTCAGGAACTATCTTCTCCTTTCTAAACTCCTTCTTTACATTGGCTATCTTACCTCTTAAAAACTCTTCATTTAGAATCCTAGCCGTGAACTTAAATTGAATGCGCATCACCCCATCTTCCTGTTCCCATATCTTCAGTGTTCTCCCTCTGGCCTGAGAACAGAGTCGAGTCAGTCCAGACTTTGGCCTCCCACTGGGATCTGCAGCACACTTTTCCCCCTCTGCCGTCTTGGCCTCAGCTATCCTTGTCTTCCCTGGGCTGTCTTCAGCTCAGGTGCTTCCCTGATACAGTTCCCTTGAGCCCTC